TGTAACTAGTCAACGGAGGACCCCTTGCTTGTCGAATGTAATTCCTTTGCGAATTCCTGGTCTCTCCACCAACATAGGGACCTCTAAAAATTGTGTCGATCTCATGAATTGGAGCATTTTCTTGTCGGTTTCAATGGCCTCTTCGTTGGTGTTTCATCTGAGTTCCTGTGCTCCTCATGCTCTCTCCTACGAGGGGATACTTCCCGATGGCGGGAAGCAGCCTCATCTCGCCTCGGCTATGCATCACGCCTAGGCGGGGGCCTGCTCCTCGGTTTAGAGGTGTCTCGATCGTTGTTTCTGGGATTTGATCCTCTAGGATGCTGAGCTATATCTCTACAATCCGCAGTATCGTGGTTGCAATAATGATGATAGGTGCAATATCCATGGGAGTTAGTTCTACCTTGATTTGAACCTCTCCCACGGCCTCGTCATATTCGAGGGGCCGGCTGTGTTGACTGATTTGCTTGAGTGTTGGTGACTGGTACATTATCATAAGCCAGTGCTGGTACGACGTTCAAGGTGTCTGCGACAAGTGCTTGGCCTGAGCCTTGGCCAATTTCAGCATTGAAGCCTGGGTCCTCGGGGGCCAAGCAAGTAAAATAAAAGTTTGACCGTCTCAATAAGGATAAATTTGGGAAGGAGGCTGAGGAGAAGGCTCCTAAAGAGGCTCCTAAAAGGGGTAAGCCACCTGCCGCCAAGGGTAAGGGTGTGGCTGAAGAGCCCCAAAAGAAAAGGAAATTGGGCCCAGGAGTTGGGTCTTCAAGTTTCGGGACATCAGTGTCCTATACAGAGAAAGGTGCGTCTAAGCAGCCAAAGCTCTTCCAGTCTTCGATTGATGCTGCGTTGGTGGCACAATCTCGGACGATAATTGAGGAGGCGATGAGGCCTCCGAGACCACAAAAAAGGCAACAGTGGAAAGGATTTCAGGGAAGTCTGGGAACATCCTGGGAGGCAGATCATTTTATTACTTCAAATTATTTGTACTAATTTTTCACTTGTTGATATTTTTTCCCATCGGGTTTTCACCAAAAAATATTTTAATAAGTTAATTATTTAGTATTATAATAATATATAGATAAGTCTTATCTAGTTAGAAAATCTATTTAATTATAATTATAACTCTTATTATGAACCCTAAAAATTTGTCGCATTGGTTCTCAATTAAAAAAAACACTTTAGTTTTGATTCTCTATTTTTCTCTCTATTTATTCTCTATATTTCTCTTTCATTCTTTTAATTTCATAACAACAATTAAATATTAGTATTAGAAGTTTTTATAAGCACGTTATAAACTTGGGCAAAAATGTTCTATTAGAAAAGACCAAATTAGAAAGAGACGTGTGGTTTGATCTTTTAACTAAAAAAAAGTGACACGGCAAAAAAGAATTGGCGAACAATTAAAAATCATATCCAAACATGCTACAAAATCTTCAAAATTAAACTATAATTGTCTATTTTAAATCCATTTCTAATTAGTGAATAAGAAGCAAAAGCAAAAAAAAACACTCAAAAAACTCAAATTCATAATTATTTACTGAACAATTTGAATCAAAATTCATTAAATTATGTAATAAAAAGCTTCAAATCAAAATGAGAAAAGGTGAAATTTCAATGCTGATCGTAGAATAAATTTGAAATAGAAGAAGAAATTAACACCAAAATCTGAATAGCGACTGCGATACAAAGACGTGGAATTCTTATTTTATTTTATTTATTTTTGCAAATTTTAAGTAAGAACTAAGCAGAATTTCGTTACAATAATTTGGAGATTTTTTATTTTATTTTTTTTCATTCTAAACTTGATTTTGATAGGAAATTTTTTTTGAGAGTTTTTCAATTTTTAGATTGGTGTCCTGTTTGGGGCTTTTGAGTGTAGCTTTGTTTATGGTGTAAATCAGCTTAATTATTTTTTATATATTGATTTTACAAAAATTCCTAATTTTGACTAAAGAACTTTGTTTATACATTATAGAAATATCAGGTACTATACTCAAATACGTCATTTTTATAAAATTAATTTTTCAACTAACTAGATTTGTAAAATAATAATAATAGGAGGAAATTAAGCCTAACCCTACTTTTATTTTATTTTCTTAAAAAATAGACTATTGCGAATTCAATCGAAAAAACTTTTTTTCTTTTCTTTTTTCAAATTAATGAATTCTAATATATTTTATACATATTCTTTTTCCTTTTTCTTTCCAACCTCTTCCTAAATTAAAGCAACACGATGAAGGGGAAAAATGTTATGGTCGAATCTGTTGAATAAATTTCCTAGGCCGAAAAAATAAATATCGTTTTACCGTTTACTATGCCTTAAAAAAGAACACGTTCAGTTTGCATGCTTCGAATATTAATCCTTGAACTTCGTACCTCGTAGTTGTCCTAAATTTTTTTAGTTATGTCTAAAGACAATGCTATATGTGTACATCCACTTTTTTACCTAATATTTTACCTACACTCACAATAGGATGCGGAGACCACACTTTTGAGAATTTTTTTATTTATGCGGGCCTCACGTACAGGTGAGAAGATGTAACATTTTCGGTACAAAAAATATGGTACGAATGGAATTGTCTATGTCTAAAATAATTTGGCTCAAAGCATTTAGTATGCCTAAGAAAGAACATGTTCAGCTCGCATGCTTTGAATTGTCCTTAAAAGGAAAACTCATCAACTTCCTACCTCCTAGTTGTTGTGACACAATTGGGATGTATTTTTTTATCATTGAAAATTAAGTCCATCAATGGTGACCTTTAATTTAATTTAATTGACTTTTTATATTCAATTTTAATCACACAATAAAATATTCTACACGTAAATTTAAAATTTTTCCTTAATTTTTAACCACACAAACAAAAAAAAAATATTATTCAATACATAGATTTTTCGAATTAAAGACCACCAACGGGGGCTACATTCTAGTGGGATACAAAGTACAGTCTAGTTTTATTGACCTTTAAAGAAAGTCTGAAACACTATGATGAATAGAAGAAATGGGATTGAAGTATAATGTTGAGCATCATATTGATCCACTCAATTATTTGATGTAAGACTAGGAAAGATTTTTGGATCCAAGATTTGGATTTGGAGTGTATAAAATATGTTAAAGGTAGACTTTTTGGAGTCTAAATATAAAAAAATTAGTCATTTTTATCTAGCTTTTGTTTGAGTTCCATTTTTTATTAGAAAAAAATGTAATAGTATTTTTTTTGAAGAACATATGATAAAAAAGTAAGTAAAAATTTAAGATTTAAGTATAAAATTGTTTTATTGAGAGAATGTATAATTAAAAATGAGTTTACAGAAAAATGATTTTTTAGATAACGGGCTCAAACAATGGCTTAATTTTGAAATATGCATGACAAATTATAGCACAATAAAATTTATTTTCATAGATTCATGAAATATATTCTTGTATTAGTTCATTTTACAACAAATTACAAAAGAATTTAGGGTCCGTTTGATTGTAAATGTGGAAAATGAGTAGAAAGAAAATGAATTTCAGGGAATTGAATTGCCTAAAAATTGTTTTACTAGGAATTATAATTAATTGTGTTTGATTAGTATAATTTTTTACCTGGAAAATGTTGAAAGTTTGGTATCCGTTTAGCTTTGTTTTTTATGGAAATTGTCCATTAAAGTAATAATTTTTTTNGAAAATCAATTGACAACAAAATCGAAGGAAACCCATTTCATTGAAAAATGGGAAAACCTGGTGTGTGGAGTTAAAGAAGGAAAAGAAATTCCATAGAATTTATTATTCATGAAATAGTTTTGTATTAGGCCGTGCTAATATTTTTTTTCTCTATATAAAATACATTGAAACAAGTTTTCATTTTTCTTTCCCCAAAGAAGGAGAGATGTTAGATATGTTCTCTAACCCTCGTGCCTTTTGTAATAATGAAGCCCTGCACAGTAAGTAGAAGTAGCTCTCGTTTTGGGAGAACACCGATAAACCGTAAGATCTTGACTCTTGTATTTTTCCATTTTTAATTATTATCGAGAGTATGTGAACACAAGTACATCGTGCGTTTTTATTTTTTTCATTTTTCAATTTCTTACTATTGCTCTAGATAATATATAATAATTAAGCATTCTTACTGTAACATAATGTTGGACAAAAGCTTTTTTTCGATTTCGTGGACACCAAAAAGTCTATTTTGTTGTGATGGCTTTATTATTGGATTTTATTTGATCCTTTTTTTCCCAACTATTTATATCAATATTTCAATTGAAATGATTTAAAGTTTGTAATCTTCAATATAAGAAGATAAACATGTTAATCAATCTTATCCAAAAAAGAAAAAAAAGAAATCTAGCCGTTGGAGTTGACTTTTATTAGACAAGTGGGATCCAATAACGGTTATATTTTCAATTTTAATTGAATTTTAATCTTTCCCAAACAAGCTCTAAATAGTCCAAAATCATTTTTTTAAGTCTTATATAGTCTAGAGAGTCTGTTTCATTTAAATTGTAACTCTCATTTTGACAGTATAAATACGAGTTTTGATTATCAATAAAATACACACTCGAATTTTGACTCTCTACTTTTTTCACATATTTTTTCGTACATTCTTAACTATGCATTCGAAAAAAATCGCTTGACATGCTAATTTTAAGCCCAAAGGAATAAATTGAAAATAATCTCTAACCGACTTCCAAATTAATAAGAAAAGAAATAATTTATTCGAAGGTGTGATAAAAAAGAATTACTTAAAAGTAAAATATAATTTATTTTAAGCTGAAATAAAGAGGATGCACAAATTTCTCTCCAGCTGAAAACGACTGCAAATGAGCAACCTGTGGTCTACCTGTATGTATCTGTATCTATCGTTGACAAGGTACACATAAATAATTATATAATAGCAATTATAGCACTGAATTCAGCCATAACTCTTCTTCTTCCTCCTCAAAGCTTTCTCTCTCTTCAAATCTTTGCCCTTTTGAGTGAATGATCGCTCTTGATTTGGTTTCATCAAATCCAAGCTTTATCGACAATGGAGACTGTGTGTTGTATGTGCGGCGATGTAGGCTTCTCCGACAAACTCTTCCGCTGCAGCAAGTGTCGCCACCGCTTCCAACACCTGTATGCACCCTCCGCCCAACCCCAACCCCTTATTAAACACCTCTTTACGGGCGTCTGTCCATATGTGTGTGCGTGTGTGTGTGGATTTTTCTGCATCTTTTTTTATGATCATGATAAGTTTCCTGAGTGATTTATAATTAAATTACTTAGGCCTGAACGCTTGAAAAATTTCACAGGTATTGCAGCAATTATTATAGTGAATTATCAGAGCCCATTCAAGTATGTGATTGGTGTCAAAGTGAGGGAAAGAGTTCAAAACATGGTGGTTCTTCATCAAGAAAATCCATGCAGGTAAATAATGATTCAAGATCAACAGGTAACAAAAACAAGCAACAAGATCATGAAGAGGGTTCAGAAAAAGCTGCGAAAAACCCGAGTTCGACATCTTCTCCCCGGCCTACTACGCGCAAATACAAGCTTCTCAAGGATGTAATCTGCTGATCGAACGAATTGAAAAGATCAGCTAGTTGGTTTGAACTCGAAAGTCTTTGTGTTCATATTTCAAATGACAGTTTTCTAGTGTTCATTCAAGTGTTGTAATTAATATAATACTCTCGTCTTAAGTCGTTTTTCATGTAGTATAGTTTTGTGTCCTATGTTTTTAGTCACAAGTTGTTACAAAATAATGAAACTATGATAATAATTCTTAAAATTTACTAAATTTTTTTGGTTTATCCGTGATCATTGTGATATTTCTAGATTCCATGCGATTACTTTCATAATAGTCGAGCAAGGAGATTATAGAGCAATTTATAAGTGGTCCTTGTCCCGATCTACTATACCTAAAGATGTACATCAATGATAAACACAACTCAACCAAAGAAAAATGGCATGACTTCGCCCTAAATGTCTCGAATCCAAGATACCAAATTTGTGAACGCGTTTAAGATAAAAAGTTTTAAATTTTTGAAGTGACATGTAGGTTTCCACATATGGTAGGGTTTCGTTGTAGGGTTTTTGTCATTGTTGCAACAAGGTTCTAGGTGGACCGTGGAAGCCTCCTCTCACACAAAGAATTACTTCATTTGTTGAGCGTGTCGAGGAGAAATCAATGCGCTTAATTTCCTTTCTGCCATACATATTCATGGTATCTAAAGCCGCAACCTTTTTCCAGATTCATAGAAAGTATTTAAGAGATTATTCATTATGATTTTGTTATTACTTAAGCAAACAAAAGTAAGCGCTTAATTTAGCAAAAAGAAAAATTATGATCCAAGTTTCAATACCTGCCTCTCGAACCGTTAAGAGATAAACTTGCGTGGCATAATTATAGTATTTATCCATGTTGTCAATCTGATTTCTACGTCGAATCAATTGATGGCCTATCTTGACTTTGTCGAAGGAACCATTTTTGTCGAAGAGCCACAAGGTCAGCTCAGAGGCCCAACCCATGGTCCCTTCAATACATGTTGGAGTTCAACAATGAAAGTTATTATATGGAAACACAATCACGACGTGACATAGAACGTGCTCCCTCTTGACGTCAACAACGTTACTCTGATTCACCAATTAGACAATGTCATAATGGCATAGGGAACATGCCTGAGCCTAGATGTCATCGTGATTTTGCATCTTTGTTGCAATCTAACTCTCCAACCAATTAAATCTCATCAAAAGAGGCCTCCCGGGGCACATCCGAGTTAGCAAAGGATGGACATTGCTAGACTTGCAATCTCAGGGTAGGGAGTTCGATTCCAGAATGGAGCAGTTGAGTGTTGTAATACACTGAGGGGCCGGGAATGGGTGGTCCAGGACATAGTTTAGTGTAAGTTGGGATACCGGGATATCAAAAAAAAAAAAATCTCATCAAAAGAGTTGTAGCACACAGCCTATGCCGGACACTATCGCTTGAAATGACTTGTGATACGAGTTCATGCCCAAAGACCTATATAAAGGAATGAAGGACAAATGAAATAGGATCGAACTGATTATAATTAATTGCTGACTATGATTTATATTTTTATTCAAATGTTAAGTTAAACCAAACAGCAACAAAAATGGGCTTACATTTATCATTTCCCAAATAACCATTCTACATTGCCAAAAAAGTTTGACATCTTTCTTGACAGACTATGACATTTCGTCATTAAATTGTTTCAGAAACAATAGGGGCTTGTTCTCTTTGCTATTTTCAGATTATTTTCAATTTTCAGTTTTCGAAAATGCTGAAAACACGTTTACCTACCTATTTTCATAAACAAATTTTCAAAAACGAGTTTAAAATTTACAAAGAAAACGGAAAATACAAAAAAAAAAAAAAATCGTTTTGGCAGTTTTGAGTTAAAATCAAGTCAAACTTCATTTTTTTTATTTTTTAAAATGACAAAAAGAACGCGATTTTAACAATCGCAAAATTGACACACAAAACCCAAAATGAATTTAAAACTAAAAACTGAAACTCAAAAAGAACAACCACTAAACTTTTATATCTAATCATTTCCTGGCATCAATACATTTGTCAACTAGGATGTCAACATTTTCTGACAAAATAGCTTAATTCTTTATGAAAAATTAAAAAGAAAGCAAAAACAATATTTGACCCTCATGTGTACCTGTTTTAAAGACCAAGAAAACTCACAATAAATAAGAACTTATGGTCCAATATAATTACTTCCACGTCTACACTTTTCTTCGTTTCCAAACTATCATCACAAGCCACATGGTTGCTTGGTTTTCTTTTTCAGCTTGTAAGCAACCACCAAATTAAATATGACTTTAATTTTATTAATTCAACTTCCGATTTCTAAGAAGCCTTATATATATCTTTTTAATCAAACCACACTTTAGTCGGAGTATTTATTAATGATAAGGTTGCAAAAGAAAATAAAGAACTTTGAAGGAGACATAAAATCCAATCTCATGCCCTCGTCAAGCTCCTTGTGGTTATGCACCGTGTAAGATATTTTTTTTAGGGTTCATAGTCACTATCTTCCTTGTCCATTACAACGTGCTAAATTTTGTCCATTTATTTTCTATTGGCATCCTTGTCCTCTTAGACGAGGGACTTGAATACAGAGATTGACTATAACTATCGTTCATGTATTATCCATACCAATTATCTCATTAGACGGAGAGTACGAAACCCACCAAATTCAACTTTTGACCTCTTTCTCCATCCATTTTAGGTACGTCGTTTGAATAAATATAAAGCATTTTTCTTATATATGAATGATCTTATTCGATCAAATTGGATTCCAATTCCGCGTGTAAAAAAGTATGGCCCCTTTTTTACTTCTTGTAGAATTGCTGAAGTTACCTCGTGTCAGTTTTTCTATAAAAAAAAAAAAATTAACTGGAGAAGACATTTTAATAAGATTATTATAACATGTTCAAGAACAATTTATTAATCTTAAAAGTAGCTCCTGACTTTCCTGCCAATCGAATCCTTAAAAGTTTGAGTAACGTTATTCATCTCCCTGGGTTCCAAACACAATTTAGGTGACGTTAATGTGACGTTAAATGATATGTGAAATTAAATAAGTCATTTAATTTCACATTTCATTTAACTTATCATTTAAAATCACCTAAACAGTGTTTGTAACCTCATTGGGAATGAATAAAATTACTCTAAAAGTTTAAATAGTCAAGTAAGAAACTCATAAATTGAATTAAATTTTGTGTCAAACCTTTTTACATAATATTAATTAGATCATTAATTCAATTATTTATTAATTGGAGCGTCAAAGTAATGACTCAGCATAAGATATTATGTCCTTGAAGCAAATGCTTCCCACGTGGCGGTGTGTTCTATTTGTTCGTTCCATCCACTTCGTCCTCAGTTATTATTTCATCTTCTTCACGTGAAGAATCTTTAATCTCACTGTTTGCGCACGTGTTTAGCTTATAAGTCAAATTTTATTTATAAGTAATTTTCTTTTAAATCTATTTTGATAAGTAAAAACTTACATATTTTGACACTAAAATAGAGAGTATTATTGGAATAAATAAATTATTAATTTATTTCAAATTTTCGTCAATAATATTTTAAGGTAACCTTGCATGAATAATGTACGTTTGCTAGCTTTCAACTTATAATTATATTATTGAATTAAATGTCTAATCGTATAAATGAAGTAAGTAAAATTATTGTCATTTATTGATCGTGGGCCGGTTGGGGTTGTGTGGGATTAGCAATGGACGGTTCATATTTGTCGATTGAAAGTCTTTTGCGGCTGAGGATGGTGGATGCTGACGCGAAAATGGAGGTAGACGTGGCATTCGGCCTTTTTGACACGTGGATATAATTAGTAACAAATATATCAATTTTGGTGAAATGGTGGATCTTTATATTATGGGTTCTTGACGGTTGATTACGATAGTGACGTTGAAGCGAAATAATTTTGTTGCATCGAAGGGACAAGAAGTTGATGAATATCGGATCTAATTGAGATTTAGAGAAAATTATCTTAAATCAGAATTTTTAAGTTAATTCTATTAATCAAACGGTAATATTTCTTGTGATCACATGAATGTATATACTTTAGTGACAATTGGATGTAACTGATCACACCCACACGAGCTCACAAATTGTATTTATATTTACATCACACGTCATAGACACAAAATTCTTAGGTCACGTGCTGATAAGTTCTTATGTATAAAGGTCACAATAAACGAACTAAATCACATCCTCACTAAAACAAATGAACATGTCACGTATAGATTGAGTCACAATTAAATATTATACTAAGTCACAATCACATAATTTACAAATCGCAATTATTTACAAAAAATAGGTCACAATACGTACCACCTGAGTTTTGAAAGTTTTTTTTACAAATTTGTTAATTTTGAAATTGTTTTGAGTTATGAAATTTCCCAATTTCATACTATTTGTAATAAAAATCAAAGAGGAAATTACACAAAATCAGAAATTTAAAAATTCAATTTCAAAAATTATATATAAAATTTATTTTTACAAAAATCAGATATTAATTTAAATATTTAATACTACCCAAACCCTAAAAATCCTAAAATTCCAAATCATTACCTAATCTTCTCTCCCTCCCCCTCTCCCTCTCCCTCTCCCTCTCCCATTGGTGGCATCAACAGGTTTAATAAAGCATGCTCCTGCTCCGGCTCCGGCTCCAGCGACCAACCAGTACCTCACGGCATGTCGCGACGTTCGCTGCCACTGTAGGAATCGAGATGTCATCGTCATTGCTAGATGAGCAATGACGTCACGTCTTTCTATTTTCCCTCTCTCCCGGTTCAGATTTGGTGTTTGGGTGGCAATTTTGTTGGTGTTTGGGCAAATATTGGTGTGCTTGCGATCTGGTGCTTAGGCGGCAGTGTCGAATCTTTTTGGTGGCGATGGTTTCATTGATGTTTCGGCGGGATTTTTGTTGGTGTTTAGGTGGCGATTGGTTTGCCTACTATCTGGTGTTTGGTCGGGGGTTTTTTGCACAAACAGGGATGCCGGGGTTGGGTTGTGGTGCTCGTGGTGGTGGTGGTGTTTGGGCAGCTGTGGTTTTGTTGGATTCAACGGTGGTGGAGGTTATGTTGGATATGGTGGTGTTGGTTGAGGTCCTGTTGTTTTGGTGGTGGTGCGAGGTGGTGGTGTAGATGTTGGGTGCATCACGTTGTGGTCGACGACGGTAGTGCAGATAGTGGTCACGGTGGTGGTGGTGATGAATTTGAGGAAGTGATGGTCGTATTGGTAGCGGTGATTTAGGCGGTGTTGGTGAGATTGTGGGGTGGTGCAAGGTGGTGGTGGCATGACGATGGGTTTGTCACGATGGTGGTGGAATGACGTGACAATGTAGTGGTGTTTTTCTACGATGTGTTGATTAGTTTGAAGTGGTTGCATTGCTGTCGGAAGGTGGTGGTGGTTTTGGCGGCGAAAGTGGCAGTGGTGCTGTTGGAGGGAATGGTGCAGTGGTGGTCACAAATTATTTGGTTGATTGTGACCATTAAATTGGTTAATATATGACCAATAAACAATACTTGACCAATGAAAAAGATAAATTGTGATCAAAAAATAATGTGTGGCCTAAATTTTTTTTAATTTGTGATCGAGAATTTAATAATTTGTGAGTGTCTATTAAATTGTGACTTATGATACTTGTGATTTGTGACCAATAAATAAATTGTAAAGAATAATTTTTTTTATTTGTGGTCGATGAATAAATTGTGACCGTAAAATAATTTACAACACAAAAATTTTGTTTGTGATCGTAAAATAATTTGTGACTTATAAAATTTCTAATTTGTAACCGATAAACAAATTGTTGTGACATATAAAATTTTTGAATTATGACCGTAAAATAATTTATGACATTTCAATTTTTTATTTGTTACCGATGAACAAATTGTGACCTATAAAATTTTTGAATTGTAACCGTAAAATAATTTATGACATATAAAAATTGTGGTTTGTGACCAATTATATAGAATTTGTGACAAAATTATATAAAATTGTGACATTAATATATTTAATTAATAAAATATATGTTTAATTTATTTATTTATAAATAAAATTTAAAAAATTCTGAAATTTGAAATTTTAAACTTAATTTCTTAAATTTGAAATTGGTAAAACTACACATCTTATTTATGAATTCTTCCCAAAATCAAATGTGTTGAAACCAAATGATTGATAGCAGCCCAGCCCAGGATACGAGCAACATACTGATGGCCAAATCCAAATGGGCTTTAAAAAACCTGTCAATTTGGTCCAGAGCTTAAAAATGGAAGTATTAAGCAACAATTAATCAAAAAAAATTTCATGAACAATTTGTTACTCTGTTATATTATTTTATCTAAATGTACACGTGGAAAAAAGAATAACTTGTTGGTTTTCTTGATAATTTTGTATATTAAAAATAAAATTAAGTCATCGTACAATTCGATGCGACCTTATATTTCAAACTTCAGTTTTGCTGTACTTATATCTTGTTAGACAACTTTATTTACACTATTTGACATGACATACAATTTTATCATTAATTTTAATAATGCTAATTCAAATCAATTGTCTCGATTTTGACACCTCAAAGGGTGTCAAGCTAATTTAATTCTTTAAACTATACCTATATTACACGTGAACGACATTCCACATGCCAATTCAAAACTACCGAACCAACTTCGCATCCTTAATTTCAACCGTAGGAACAAAAAGAAAGGAAAGTAAAAGAAAAAAGAAAAAAACATTTCTCATAGCTCTAAATCCCCCGCCGAGAAAACCACCGCACTTCAGCCGCCCCACCACCGACAGCCGCCAAACAAAGGACGGCTAACACCCCAACCATCGATCCACCACCACAGACGTCACTACACAAAACACCTCAAATCCCATCAGATCCCCCGTCAAGAAAACCACCGTAAAATCACAACCAACAATAACACCAAAATCACAACCAACAATTAAAACTTGATTTATGTATTATTAAAGTTGATTCTGTATTTTTGAAAATGGAAACTTAAAAACTTGTGAGGGTGTAATTTCCTCTTTTTATAATTTCCCAATATCAAATGTGTTGAAACCAAATGATTAATAGCAGCCCAGCCCAGGAGACGACAACATAATGATGTCCAAATTCAGATGGGCTTTAAAGTACCTGTCAATTTGGTCCAGAGCTTAAAAATGGAAGTATTCAGCAACAATTAATCAAAAAAAAAAAAAATTCATAAACAATTTGTTACTCTGTTATATTATTTTATCTAAATGTACACGTGGAAAAAAGAACGTGTTGGTTTTCTTGATAATTTTGTAAATTAAAAATAAAATTAAGTCATCATGGTACAATTCGATGCGATCTTATCTTTTAAACTTCAGCTTTGCTATACTTATATCATGTTTGACAACTTTATTTACACTCTTTGACGTGACATACAATTTTACCATTAGTTTTAACAGCGCTAATTCAAATCAATTGTCTCGATTTTGACACTCAAAGGGTGTCAAGCTAGTTTAATTCTTTAAAGTATACCTATATTACACGTGAACGACATTGCACGTGCCAATTCAAAACTACCGAACGAACTTCGCATCCTTAATTTCAACCGTAGGAACAAAAAGAAAGGAAAGTAAAAGAAAAAGGAAAAAAACATTTCTCATAGCTCTAAATTCCACACAATTTCATGAGGCCATATTCTTTCATTGTTGGTAACGTTTTAGCAACCACTCAATTGGGTCCCTACTCAATTCTTTTCAAAACATGTACGTGGACACTTTTGAGAAGGTTTTTTAGCACAATGGTTGACATAATTTTCAACATAATGTTACGTGACATTTTATTATCGAATTGTTTAAAATACAATCAACATTTACATTCAATCATGTATTGCTAATACTTAATATATCAAAACATTTGTCAACATTTTTCTGTTAAAGTGACATAAAGATTTAGAGGGATATTCTAAAACATGACAAAAGAGCGATGTCATGTTCAGTAAACGAACTTCATTTTTAATCAATTATTTCAATGAATTTATAAAAACATTTTATTTATTTATTTATAAATTAATTTGTTCATAATTTTTTCGAGAACCAAGCATAAATTCAAAATAGAGCGATGGCGTGTTTGACATGACTTTTACTTTTACTTCTGTTTTTCTTCATGTAAAAGAGATTTTGATAAAAACTTACCTTAAATTTATTTAAAAATTAATTTTAAAAGCACTTTATATTCCAAAAGTGTTTTTAAAAGAAATTACATCGGACCAGCTGTCTTTGAAAGCTCTTTTAATTAGAAAAAATACTTTTATAAAATTAGACAAACGAATCCAAAAGCTAATTTTAGATTTCAAATGTTCTCTTTCAAAAATTATACCAAACGGACCCTGAATCAACCGTAGAAGTTTGTATAGTCTCGTCTACGTGGGACCTATGCAACATATGAAACATCTTCCTTCACTGTTCACACGACTATGAACAATGAAAAATGACTCAACAACGATTGATTGATTGTATGCGTCATCAATGTGATGGGCCCACTCACCTTAAAAACTCCATCAAAAATAGACAACTTTGACTTTTCGACCTTTTCTGCAATCATCTAAAAACATGTTTTTATAGTGTAAATTTTACAAATTAATTTTTTCTTTTTACCAAAGGCAATCCAATTTTCTAAATACGTTTTTTCTCGAATTTATTTTTAATTGTATATTCTCTTAATAAAATAATTTTACATATAAATTTTTCCTACTTTTAATCATATATTCTTACAAAAAAAATCACATTTCACAAAATCTATCTTCCAAACGAGGATAAATTTTACAATTTTCAAAAATAAATTCTGATGAGTGGGTTTTATTTTTAGTTGCTAAAATTATATGTAGGTAAACATGAATGATGTATAAGTGAAAACTATTTGAGAATCGATCCCGAGTTTTCAGACTCGTCGCACTTTCGCTCGGGTCGAGGCTGCCAATTTTACAAAATTCTTGAATATAATGATGTGCATGTAATTTGATCGGCCTTTCGAGGAAATTAACATTGAAAATAGGAATAAAAACAATCTTTATTACAGGATAAATCAGTGCCAAATTGGCAAATTCTTCAGATTTTTTTATGCTGAGAAGTCATCTTTTGGTGACAAGGAGTGAACTTGTTGATGCCGTTGAAGAAATTGTGGTGGCACCCCGAAACGATGATCTTTGCCTAAAACAATCCAGTGATATATTTGGAGATGAAATCGCAAAGGTAATGTACGACGAATGAACCCCGGACTCCGGCAGAGACCCTGCAAAATCCCCAAGAAATCATATTACAGTTCCTTTTTTCATAGCTAATTTGATGCATAATGTTTGGTTCTCATCAATGATGTACTCGATTCGACCAGACAATACATGAAAGACAAGCTTTTAGAAATCTATCAGACAAACCAGCAATGTACTAACACAATAAAGGCCGAAAGTTGAGATTTGAATAGTTTTCTGAAAGTGTTTTGTCTAGCTATAAGAAATTTAGAGAAAGCTGACCTAACGTACTCTACTATAAGAAACAAAAGAGCCACGCCGAACACGCCCTAAGAAACTACTGAACACTATCCTACAAGAAAATTGAAGTCCTAAATTTTTTTGTGCATTATTATCGTGACCTAATTGTTCACAAGAACTTGATAAAAGATGGATCGATGGGTTAAATTAGCTAATGTACATTGTCAATGAGAAAGATAAAAACATAAGTTACTTGTTAGGTTTTCAGAGGATGATTCGTGGCCGGCATTAACATGCTAAGACTTGTTAATAAGTTCTTGGATTGACTGCTGGGATTTTCGCCTCCGGCGGTTATGGTCAGCCAGCCTTTTCCGGCAGCTTCTCTTCCCATTATCGAATTCCGACAGCGTATGGAATCTGCTTGTGGCAATTCAATCCAATTAATGAAAAAGAATCAAAATCTCACATAGAATTCAGGATTATACCACTTAAACAGAAAGTGGTTGACAGATGTAGTAACATATTGTTAGTTGACAAGATGTGATTGAATGAAAAAACTAACCGGGATATTATGCCAACCTTTATATACCACTAACATGATTCTAGGTGGGGGCCTGTCCACCTACCCCTTGTAATACTACAACCATCAAATTCCAAAAAGTTTGTTGGACAGTATGAAAATGAAGAGTCGAACGCAAAAGGGTAATTTAGTAAATTCAAAATTCCCAATTTACCAAGGTTAATGTTATTGCAAACTCTTATTGCATCTATAACGACTACAAAGCGATGGAAACTTGAAATGCAGTATTTGCTGCATGGGGAGGGTGTTTTGGTCATTTGGGTTCTATTACGAATAAAAATTTAATAAAAACCTGCTGCATTGTTGGCAGAATCGCTGAGTCAACCCGGCGGTGACGACCGTGGAGGCCTTGGAGTGGAACTCACACACCTTGTGGCGGCGGTGGTAGTGCTTGGCGTGGGCGAGGTTAGCTCTGCATCCATCAGCTTGGCACCTAAGGGAGTTCACCAGACCAGGCTCGACTGCTCTGAACCGACGGTAGAGCCGGTTCACAGAATCATCCTCAGACGAAGCAAAATAAGTCCTCCCACCCAAATTCAGCCCAATTCTACTAGCATTAGAATTAAAATCGACCCCACCAACCACCAGTTCACTCTTTGGCATCAACTTGTACCCGGTCGGACCATCCGGTTCAATTCTGAGCATTGAAGCCTCCGCTGGATAGGATGAAGCTGACGAGTTGCCATAAACGCTTGGGTCATACAGATTAGTCAGTTGGGTGTTACTATTTAGGGTTTCTGTATGATGAAATGGGTGCTGGTGGTGAGAAGTGGCAGTGGTGATGAAATGGGGATTAGGGTTAAAAAAAGTAGCCGTTTCAGCGGCGGTTTGGGAGACTGAGTAAGGGTAAAAAATCTGACGGTTCTGGTTCTGGTTCTGGTTCGATTCTTGAACAGCCCCTTCACTGGAAAGCATTATTGTTGATGGTTTCGCCCATTCATACTCCAACATTGCATAACAATCCCTTTTTGAACTGCCTTTTAGAACAAAGAGAACACCAAAATCTGCACATGGAGCAGAAATATTTAAATATATATAAGCACAATATCTGAAATCAAGAATCTCTCTGTGTGACAAGCTGCAAAGTGGATTTGAGGGACATGTCGGGATTGAAATGTTTCTTAATTGAGCCTTTGAGAATGTGCAAGAAATTCAGAGAGAGAGATAGAGAGATGATTTATATACGTGTATATATATATATAGATAGAGAAAAGAAACCTTGTGCAGTTGGAAACTCAGATATACAGTGTGGTAATGAAAACCCGATGGCAGAACTTAGAACTGTTTGCTCAGGGATAAGTTGTGCAGCATGTCTGGTGTAGATTAAGCCCTGCAATCGATTAAAATCTCGATTTTAATTTAAATCAAAGTCAACAATTCATGTCAACCATATATTTTATGGATTTCACAATTTTTGAACCATACAGTTCATCAACTTATATCAAAATCTACTAAAAATCTAATTTTAATCATTACCAAATAAAAGCTTTAAATTGATAAAAATTTTGAATCAAAGTTTACAATTAATTATAATCACACATTTTGCGCATCTTTGATGTAGATTAAAATCGAATTAAAATTTCAAGTCAAAATTAAGAATTTTTTTTTTCCATAATTTTTAATCACATATTTCATCAATTTTAATTAAAATCTACCAAACTGGAGTCCAAGTCAAAATTGCAGCGAGGCACTTCAATGGAAGTTAATTTTGTGTCAAATTTTTGTCCCCTCTACTTTTGCTAGCATCATATTTGTAATACATGTGAAGTGTCCCCTACCCGGAGGTTTATTTGATTAATAATTCACCATTATTTTTTTTGAGAATTTCTATAATTGTTATTTATCAATTCAAAGAAAAAAAAAAGGCTATGCATATAAAAAAAAGAAAACAATTACAAAGTTACATACAATGTAGTATATATAAATAATTTAAACTTTTTAGAATAAAGTTTTTGATTTTTTGTTTCGCAAAATCAATCTCGCATCTCAATTACAAAGTTACATACAATGCACGTGTTACATACTAATATACTAAAAAAGTGAAGTAAATTTAAATTTTACTCGAATTACAATGAAGTAACTTTTCAAAATCTTGAGTGTGATAAATTTTAATACTATAAACTTAATATTGGATAAATTTTGTTCGTGATAACTTTACTTTCACACTATTTCAATTAGGTAATTATACTTTAATTTGGTTAAATCGTGTAACTACATTTTAATTTGATTTAAATCAGGTAATTTCGTCGGATTCCATTCCATCACTTGAACTAACAAAAATCGATGACATAGCTGTCAATAAATGATATTTGCAATTATTTATTTCAATGAAGTTGTACTTTTGTTAACAATTACTGGTTACGTGCGATAACTATTATTTATTAATTATCACGTCATCATCGATTATCTTGAACTTTCAAAACTTGGTGGTGCTACAATTATCCGTGGCTTAGCAACAATAAATTTTTATTTTAACCTTTTAAGAATAACGATAAAATTGTATGTCTCACGACTTCACTACTTAAGTTATTCATATTATGTTGAATATTTTAGATTCTGACTTCTAAAAATATGTATATTAATTGAAAAATGAGAAAAATAAATAAACGATGATTGAAAAATGTAAAAATAAAAAATCTCTTTAAAATATTCTAAATTGCTAAAAATCGAACCCAAACTTCTAGAAAAACTAAAATTAATCTTTTCCAGCTAAACAATGGCGACTTTAATTTAATGAAACTATAGTTTTTAATTAATGATATTCATAGTAGAGACTACTGGTAGTCGCCTACATGATATACACATAGCAGTTTGTTATTTGATGCATTAAAAGTAAAGTTATTTATAGTGAAAATTATCGATTGTCGATCTATGCAGTATACACATGACTACTTGTTATTTGATGCATTAATGTGGTAGTTTTATGTTGTCTCGTGCATCAAATAACAAACTGTCAGGAGTATATTACGAAGGACGACTACCGATAATTTTCATCATGAATAGTATTATTGAAACTTTTTATTTCTACTATCCTTTTTGACATTGACATTTTATTTTTTTCTTAATTGTAATTAAAAAGATTACTTACTTTTAGAAAGTTAAAAATCGTCCAACAAAAAGAATTATTTAAAATTTACTTAGTTTCAAATTCATTGTCTAACTTTAGGTCCACTTGACTCGAATGTGTGAGAGTGCGAGAGCCCTATAATGGAACAATAATTTTCAATTGGGTAAAAAGGAATAATGATGCTTCACATGGCGTGTGGCCAAATTGTTACTTCAATTAGGCAATTAGGTGTTTTGAGGTAACATACTCATTTATTATTATCGCCGACCGACCGAGCTACCGACAAACCGACGAAACTCAATTTACATTGGAACATCGTTAGTCTTAGTCTTATGTTGCGGCATGGACCCTTCAATATGTGATGTTTTTAATATTAATATTCAATCATGTTATTTTGTACTTGTCCACGATTTGATATTAAGAGTCCGTTCGATTTATATTTCAATTTTTAATTTTGAGTTTTGAGTTCATTTTTAGTGTTTTTTTTTTTTAAAGTCTTTTTTGAAATTGTTAAAAATGTGTCTGATATGTCATTTTGAAAAATTAATTCTCAAAACATAAAATTAGAAAACACGTTTGGTTTGAAATTTTAAAACATTGTTTTGTGAATTTTTATTCCATGAAAATTGATAATTCTGTAAAAATGGAACGATAATATGTTAATAGAATATCAAGTAATATATACATTTTAAAGTTGGGTCAATTTTACAATATTTTTTCTAGCTACAAAAGTAAAATAAATAATTAATAAAAAATTAATAAAAAATAAAAATTAATGACATGGATTTAGAATAATTATTTCTGTATTCATTTAAATGGTTTTTTTTCCAGAATTTTTACGTAAAGTTTGAACTATTTTTATAAATTTTTTTTTCTAGAATTTTTATAATTTTATTTTTAAAGATTTTTTATTTTTTAGATTTTATCTTTTTAATTTTTTCTTTTTTAAAAAAAATTTAAAATATTATTTAAACAATTTTTTTTTTTAGCTGTGTCCCACCAAACTATATGGAATAGCAGTCTGACATCAATGCAAGGATGAGAGGTATTCTTATCGACTGGCTGATTGAGGTGCATTACAAGTTCGAATTGATGGACGAGACGTTATATTTAACTGTTAGTCTCATCGATAGATTCTTAGCCATCCAACCAGTGATAAGAAAGAAACTCTAGCTCGTTAGAGTGACAGCTATGCTCATTGCCTGCAAATAGGAAGAAGTCTCTGTTCCCGTTGTGGACAGGGACGGAGCCAGGATTTTTGGTCGGGGGGCACAATTTATCTGATAATCAACGTCGAGTTTTGTCATGCATGTTAGCATTGTAATCCATAATGGGTATCCTTAGAACTTGATCAGTAGGAAGTTTATTGACGTCAAATTCCACATTATTCGACGTCGCCCCAACAACATTTACATCGTCCAAGTCAGTTATTCTCTGAAAGAATCTCTTCATGAGATTTCAACAATTTCAATTTAACCAACAATACCCAAATTTCAACAATACCCAAATTTTAGCAATTTCAACTCAACAACGGGACAACACCCAAATTTCAACAATACCCAATTTCAACCTACAACAATACCCAATTTCTACTCAGAAGTCAGCAATACCCAAATTTCTTCCATACCCAATTTCCATTTCAACACAGTCTACTCTACTGGCTACTGCAATTTCAATTTCAATTTTCAAGTTTTCAACCATACCCAATGTCCATTTCAACCATACTCAGCAATATATTCATCTACTGCACATAGCAAACAACAATACCCAAACATAGTATTAATTAAAATCACGTATTTCAGATTTTCGGTCTCATTTCTGGTGCTAT